TTTCCAAGAGCCACTGAGTCTACATGACATGTGGCAAGGAGACCCAAGAAGCTATTATATGAAGCTATGAGAAAGAAATTTAGGGTGAAATGGGAATTTCTAGATGTCAGGGATTCTAAGATCATAGGATATGTACAGAGAAAGCTGCATATAGAGTTGCCTAGAGAAAGGTTATACATGTTGATAGCATTAGTGCTGGAAGGCTGGCTCTACCCATGTCCTTTGGAACTCGAATGATTCTATCACATCCCAGCTGCCAAACATTGAACTAAAGGATTGTTTTCTCTGTTTGTTTTCAGTCTTCCTTCGGTTTTATATTTTCTTTCTATGGCCTCAGTCCTTTTGATTAGATCGGGACAATTTGCTATGTGGCATTGTACATTGGAATTGTGTATCTCATTTATGACTCAGAAGATCACATACAAGAGATTTCGTTAAGTTTCAGAAAAGATGTAGACTTAGAACTTTTAAATTCTTTAGAAATTGTTAGAAGACTATGGAGACTTCCATTGTTTGTTTGGGGATACATTTTTTTTTTGGTCTGTGTGTACATGTACTTGACTGGTGTTTGCCCAGTCACAAGAGGGGTTTGGATACATTAGAACTGGATTTAAAAGCAATTGTGATCCACCATGTGAAGAGACAATACCTTAAATCACAGTGCCATCTGTCCAGGTTTGACTTTGAGGCCCTTTGAAGACCAACTTAAGGCATTTTAAAAATTATAACATGGACATATACCTGTAAGGATGAAGGTATAACACTATGGCATAAAACTGACATATTTCAATGTCATGTTGACAAGGAAGTCCCATGGGAGCTTACATTGTTTGTCAACTGGATGTGATCTAGACAATATTCTCCATACACATAGGAAGTAATTTGCCAGTTAGGCTAATGGTGGTGGTGCTAAGTGGAATAAACTTCCAAGGAAAGTGCCATCCAGCAGATTGAAGCACTGCTCTGTTTGTTTTCATGATAGTCTGAGCTGCTTTTGGTGTGTCCTTTCACTCTGTCAGAAGGAAGTTTCCAAAAACTTTAGCAAAATGAGTCCTCTTGCCATAATCTGTTTCTGGGAGTTATTTGATCAAAGTAATGGTAACATGTTACTATTAAGTAATTAGGTATGAATGTGAGCTGGGGGTTTCATGCATGTTATCATTAGGACAAATAAAGTCAAATATATAAATGTTGTGATATGGATGCTTATTAAAATTATATACTGAATTTTTTTGGTATTTTTCTACTTGACATAATCTACAGCCATCTGGTACATAGTCCTGTGGTAGATTATCTTATTATGCTTCTTTTTAAAGATTTATTTTATTTCTAAATTGTGTGTGTGAGTATGTGTGTTTGTGTTATTTGTGTTATGTGCATATGAGTACAGATGCCAGTGGAGTCCAAAGGAAGGAATTGAATCCCCTGGAACAAGCAGTGACAGGCAGTTGTGAGCTGGCCAGGATGGGTGCTGTAAATTAATCTTGGTACTCTGAAAGAGCTCTTAACTTCAGAGCCATCTCTCCAGCCCTATACCAAAATCTTGAAATAGATTATTTTTCATTTTACATACCCACCCCATTTCCCACCCTGATCCACTCACTCCTCACAGTGGGTAAGGCTTTCTGTCTGTCTGTCATACCAAGTTGAGGCAGGAGCAAGTCCCTCCCCTATGTATCAAGGCTGATCAATGTCTCCCACCATAGGGAATGGTCTCCAAAAAGCTACTTTATGAACCTGGGATAGGTCCTGGTTCCACTGCTAGGAACTGCCCCTTCTCCCCCACACAAACAACACATCTATCACTCACATTCAGACAGCCAGTCTACAGTCCATGAGCTCCTACTAGCTTGGGTCAGCTGTCTCTGTGGTTTTCCCCATCATGCTATTGACCCCCCCCCATGTTCATATGATCCCTCCTTTATCTCTTCAACTGAAGTCTAGGAGCTTGGCCCAGTTTTTGCCTGTGGGTCACTGTATCTGCTTCCATAAGTTACTGGATATAGATTCTGTGATGATAATTAGGGGAGTCACTAATCTGATTAAAGAGAAGACTTATTCAGATACCCTCTCCAGTATTTCTAGGAGTCTTACCTGAGGTCATCATTGTAGATTTCTGAGGATTTCTCTAGCAGTAGATTTCCTCCAACCTCATAATAGCCCCCTCTATCTCTTTCATTGTCTCCCCCACCATCCCTTCCCCAACTCATAATCCTTCATACCCTCTCTCCTAGCCCCTCTCCCAGTTTACTCACAATAACCTATGTTTCCTTCCTGGTGACCTTCTTTTGTTTCTCGCTTAGTGTTCCAATTTTCCCCTGGCTTCTCTGGGGTTGTGAGTTTTAACCTGGTTTTCCTTTGTTTTATATCTAATATCCACTTATGTGTGAACTCATGTTTGTCATTCTGGGTCAGAGTTAACTCACTCAGGATGTTTTTTTGTTTTTTTTTTTTTGTTTTTTGTTTTTTGTTTTTTTTTTTGTGTGTGTGTGTGTGTTTTCTAGTTCCACCCATTTCCCTGCAAATTTCAAGATGTCATTGTTTTTGACCACTGAGGAATACTCCATTATGTGAATGTACCATATTTTTTAAATCCATTCTTTGGTTGAGGAGCATCTAGATTGTTTCCAGGTTCAGGGTATTACAAATTAAGTTGCTATAAACATAGTTAAGCAAATGTCACTGTGGTATGATTGTACAACTTTTGGGTAGAAGCCCAAGAGTGGTATTCCTTGGTCTTGATGTAGATTGATTGACACTTTTCTGAGAAACTACCCTACTGATTTCAAAACAGTACAAGTTTGCATCCCACCAGCAATGGAGGAGTGTTCCCCTTACTCCACATCCTATCCAACATATTGCTTTTGACCTTAGCCATTCTCATCGGTTAAAAATGATATCTGAGAGTCATTTTGAATTACATTTTCCTGATGGCTAAAGAAGTTGAACAATTCCTTCTGTTGAGAGTTCTTTGTGCAGATCTGTAACCCATTATATAATTGGATTATTTGGTATTTCAGTATCTACTTTATTGAGTTCCTTATATATTTTGGGATCATCCCTCTATCAGATGTGAGATTGGTGACGATCTTGTCCCATTCTGTAGGCTGCTATTTTATTTTATTGACCATATCCTTTGCCTTACAGAAGCTTCTCAGTTTTGATTGGTTCCATTAATTATTAATTTATTAATTTATTAATTATCCATCTCAGTGTCTGTACTATTAATGTTATATTCAGGAAGTAGCCTCCTGTGCCAATTCATTCAAGGGTACTTCCTACTTTCTTTTCTAAGAAGTTCAGTTTGAGTGGATTTATGTTGAGTTCTTTGATCCATTTGGACAAAAGTTTTGTGCATGTGGAAAGATATGGATCTATTTATTCTTCTACATATCAGCATCCAAATGCTAACACCAATTGATGCAGACTCTTGCCATTTTCCATTGTACATAATTTTAGTTTCTTTGTCAAAAATCATGTGTTCGTAGGTGTCCCAATAAATATCAGGTATGGGGCCCATATATTGGAAATCTATTCCATCCCGCCATGACTTCAGAGAGCTCATGTCACTCCTGTTGTCATTAAGATATTAGCTTGATGGTTGCAGGACATCCTGTCCTCAATGGTGAATGACTCCTATCTAAATAACAATAGACCTAGGCTCAGGTGGGTTTACACTTATCCTGAAGTTTAGATGATTCCTGCAGCTGTTGAGCCCCTGGTGGCTGAATAGTATGTGCAGCTATGGAGTGTCTTTAGGGTTAAGGGAGGGAATTGCTATTTGTCCTTTATACATGAGAATAGAAGCTTTCTGCATTTGTCCCCATCTTTGGTTGGTTGCTTCAGATGATACATAAATAAACCAGGTGCATTTAGTATTAACTGATACTGCCCTCCTGAAATGATCTTATATCTCCATCTTTTCTTTAACTCCTATAGCGAGCCTTCACTCATCCACACACCCCTCACTCAGGAATTGACTGGGGCATGTCTGGCTGGTCCCAATCTATTGAATCCCTGCAAACACCAGCCCTTGACATATGGATCAGCAACATGGGCAGTGACGATCTGGTCTTAGATTTGATTCCATTGGTGCACCTGTCTGTTTCTCTGACAGTAACAAGCTGTTTTCATTATTAAAGCGTTATAGTAGAGCTTAAGTCATGGGTTACCACCCATGCCTCCAGATGTTCCTTTATTTTATAGCATTGTTTTGGATATCCTGAGATTTTAGTTTTTGTTTTTTATGTAGACACTTAGTGCTATGAATTTCCTCTTAACACTGCTTTCATAGTTTCCCATAATTCTGGGCATATTTTGCTTTCACTTTCCTTGAATTCTAGGAAGTCTTTAATTTCTTTCCTTATTTCTTCCTTGATCCACTGATGATTCAGTTAGGCATTGTTCAATTTCCATGAGTTTGTATGCTTTCTTCAATTAGTGTTATTGTAATTCTAACTTTAAGCCAGTGTGATGCAATAAGACACAGGGGGTTATTCCAATTTTTTGTTTGTTTGTTTGTTTGTTTTTGAGACATGGCTTCTCTGTATTGCTTTGAAGGTTGTCCTGGAACTCGATCTGTAGATCAGGCTGGCCTCAAATTCACAGACATCCACCTACCTTAGCTTCCCAAGGGCTGGGATTAAAGGCATGCAACATGAAAGCCCAGCTTCCAATTTTTTTTTTGTATCTGTTGAGGTTTGCTTTGTTATGAGTATGTGGTCTGTAACACAATAATAAAGTCCCTGAGACAGATATTGTGGTGCAAGCTGAAGATCAGAGAAGCAAAGCAGCCAGCTATTAGCTCTTACCTGTATCTCAGACTATCTCCATTAATCCTCAAAGTGCAATGCTCTCCACAAAACCTCTGTCTCCTCCTGCCTTATATTCCTCTCTCTACTCAGCCACATCACTCCTGTCCTTATATCCCTAATGCTGGGATATAAGGCTTGTGATCTAAAGTATTGACATAATCTTTATGTGAAATGTTTGTATTTTAGATTGGAAGAATTTTGTGTAGCTCTTTGTGGCATTGAACTAACAGAGATACTGAGCCATGGGATTAAAGGTATGTACCTCTACCACCTGGCCTCTATGGCTAGGTAGTATGACTGTTGTTGGGATTAAAGCTGTGTATCACCAGTTCCTGACTCTGTAGCTTTGTCTAGCTTTGCATTTTGATATCCAGATGCTTTATTAATCAGAAACAATAAAACCACAGTGATCAGTCTTAGAGAAGGTTCCATGAGGTGTTGAGAATGCATTATATTCTTTTATGTTTAGCTTGATTGTTCCATAAATTGTCTGTTAAGACCATTTAAGTATTGGCATCTGTTAGTTCCTTATGTATCTGTTAAGTTTGTGTCTAGCAGAACTGTCCAGTGCTGAGAGTGGGGTCTTGATGTTTTCCACTATTAGTGTATGGGGTTTGATATATGGTTTATGTTTTAGTATTGTTTCTTTTACAAATGTGGGTGCCCTTGTATTTGGGACCTAGGTCTTTGGAATTGAGACTTCTTCTTAATGGATTTTTCATGTGATGAATATGAAATGTCCTTCTCTGTCTCTTTTGATTAATTTTAGATAGTATATTTTGTTAGATATTATGATAATTATAACCAACTTTTTATTTTTTTTGTTCTGTTTTATTTTAGATACAATTTATTTTGCATATCAATCCCAGTTCCCTCTCCCTCCCATCCTCCCATGCCTCCCTCCGATACCCCCAACCCACCCCCAACCTACTCCCCAAGAATTGGTTGGCCATCCATGGGGGATCATCAAAGTCCGTCACATCTTTTGGTTAAGCCGTAAGCCCTCTTTATGTATCTGGACTGCAATAGTATCTCTCCATAGGGATGGGCTCCCAAAGTCCGTTTGTGCACTAGGGATAAACACTAGCTCCACTGTCAGAGGTCCCATAGAATGCCCAGGTCACCTAGCTAGAACGTACATTCAGAGGGCTTGGTTCAGTCAAATGCTAATTACCCAGCATAAAGAATAGGGTCTCTGTGCCCTCACTAGGTCAGGCCAACTGTTTCTGTGGGTTTCTCCAGCAAGGTCCTGGCTTCTTTGCTCATACCTCCTCCCTCTGTACAACTGGCTTCCAGGATTACAGCTCAGTGTTCAACTGTGGGTGCCTGTTCCTTTTTTGATGAGCTACTGGATGAAGGCACCAGGATGGCAAACAAGGGAGTCATCAATCTCATTATAGGGGAAGAGCATCAAAGGCAGCCTCTCCACTACTGCCCAGATTCATAGCTGGGGTCATCCCTGTGGATCACATAATATTTCCCTACTGCCTGACCCTTCTCCAAACGTATTCTGGATCCCTCTATCAAGGTATCTCCCTTCCTGCTCTCCTCTATTCCTCCCCTGTCTCAGTCCAGTAGATTGGAAAATCTTTTCCCAAACCATTACTATGATGTAATGCTTGTCTTTGAAGTTGAGGTGTGCTCTTATATGCAGTAGGTGCTATTTTTTGTATCCATTCTGATAGCCTTTGTCTTTTTATGGGCAAATTGGGACCATTGATATTAAGAGACAATAATGACCAGTGATTGATAATTCCTGTACATTTTATTGGTTATTGGTGGTAATAGTGTTTGTGTGTTTTCCTTCTTTGGGGTTTGCTGATATTTTGTGTGTGAAGCTAACTTCATTGCATTGGAGTTTTCCTTTTATTACTTTTTGTAGCACTGGATTTCTGGTTATGTATTGCTTAAATCTGGTTTTGTCATGAAATATCATATTTTATCCATCATCCTTTAGTGTCTGCATAACATCTGTCCAGGTCCCTTGCCAGTTTCAAGGTCTTCTTTGAGAAATCAGGTGTTATTCTGATGGGTCTGGCCTTATGTGAGACTTGGCCATTTTCCTTTGCAGCTCTTAATGTTCTTTCTTTGGTCCGTATATTTAGCATTTTTGTTATTATGTTATGTTTTATCATCATCATCATTATCATCATAGGCATTTCCTTCTTTAGGTTGGGAAGATTCTTCAATGATTTTGTTGAATATATTTCCTGTGCCTTTGAGCTGGACTTCTCGATATTCTATGCCTATTATTCTTTGGGTTTGTCTTTTCCAAGATTTCCTGAACAGGACATTCTTGTCATAGGACATCATTGGATTTAACATTTTCTTTTACTGGTGAATCTATTTCCTCCACTGTATCTTCAACACCTTAGATTCTCTGTTCCATCACTTGCATTCTGTTGGCTAAGCTTGTATCTGCAGCTCCTGTTAATTTTCCAAGGTTTTTCATTTCCAGAATTTCCTCAGTTTATGTTTTCTTTTTTGAATCTGTTTGAATGTTCAGATCTTGAACAGTTTCCTTCACATGTTTGGTTATTTTTTTTCTTGGCTTTCTTTATGGGATTTATTGACTTCTTCAATTTTTTGTCTTTCCTCCATTTCTTTAAGGGAGTTTTTCATTTCCTCTGTAAGGGCCTCTATCTTCTTCCTCGAGGTATCTTTAATGTCATTTTCTTCTGTTTCATCTGTGTTGGCTTGTTCATGTCATAGAATCACTAGTTTCTGGTGCTGCCATATTGCTCTTTATGTTGTTGAAAGTATTCTTACACTGTTTTCTACCCATCTTCTTCCTCCAATTGATGCAGGTAGGTTCCATGACTCAGGTGATATCTCTTCCTCCAGTTAGTAGAGGTGGGGCCTGTGATTCTGGAGGTCACTCTTTCTCCAGGTATAAGTGTGGCATGTGGCTCCTTTGGTGGCTGATGCAGTTGGGATGGTTGGGGGGGAGATGCTGCTGCCTGGTCACTGGTGCTTGGTTGAGTAATGAGATGTGCTCCCTAGGGCTGGGGCCTAGAGAGCTAGAGAACACCACAGGCCACTCCAGAACTTAGACCCTAACCTTTTCCTCCAGGTGAAGGTCAGGCATGTGATTATATTTATTGATAAGGAAAAACCCATCATAATTGCAGTGGCACCATTTCCTGGAAAATAGATCTTGAACTGTATAAACTGAAGATAGTACATTGAGCAGTAGAATGCACGCATCCTTTGCTTTCTGTTTTTGATTATGTATGTGACATGACCAGCTGATTCCAGTTCTTGTGAAGGGGCCAGCTCCCCATTTTGGCAGCCATAACAGCTGAACACATGCTTGCCATAACCTTGCCTTGGACACTTAGAGGTCAGATGCCTGCATCGTGGCAAGTAACTAATCAGAAGTTAGCTGGTGGTGCTATGCTTTATGGCTCTGGGTGTGCTTTACAGACAAGCACACAGCAAGGATGCAGAGAGCATAGCACCCCCCCTGGGAGGGCCTATGGGCCATAGCAATCAGTTGACCAATCAACACAGGGCAAACCTTCCAAGCCTGGAGGCACACCAATCCGGAACCTGTCCATACCCCTAGACACTCCCCTTGCGCTGCCCTATAAGATCTGTACGCAGCGGCTTCGAACTGTCTTTGCTTGCCATCTGACATGGCAGGTGGATCAAAGACGTGAGCTAACATAGGGTTAGCTCATTAAACTACAATAAAGCCTCATGCAATTTGCATCAAGCTTTCGCCTCCATTCTGTGGCCTCAGTCCTGGGCTAAGATCCTGGAAGCCTGAGCTTTCAGGGGGTCTTACACATGCTGTCTTGACTTCCAGACATAACAAGTGATAAATTGATCCATGAGCTAAAATAATCTTTAAGCTGCTTATGTAAGATCAATTTATAAAAGGAAAAAAAATTAAAAAAAAATAAAAAGAAAGAAAGGAAGGAAGGAAGGAAAGAAGGAAGAAAGAAAGAAAAAAGAAAAAAAAAAGAAAGAAAGAAAGAAAGAAAGAAAGAAAGAAAGAAAGAAAGAAAGAAAAAGAAAGAAATGGATGTAGGGTCTGTCCTGATTCTAAAGAAATCATAATGATGGTTCAAATATCTTCAAATTTTTACATTTGTAATGAATAAAACCTGGCATTGAAGTAACAAAGTAAGTTTATTTGCATTTCCTTAAAGGATTGTAAAGAAGATCTTAATAATTATTTATCTAAATTGTCTCCAGTCTTTTATTCTTGAAAGATAGCTCATGGGTATGAAATTCTTATTTGACTGCTTTATGATGTTTTGTTTTGTTGTTTTTTCCCACTCTTCAAAGTACTTGACTTTGAAGTACTATATTGTGACCTTCAGGGTTTCAGAAATGCATAGTCACTCTGCCAAACTTCTCAAGTAGTTTTGGTGTTTTGTCCTATATACTATCAAAATTACTTACTTGTATATTCTCTGCCATCATGGAATGCTTTTGAATTCATAGATTTTTCATATAAGCTTATAGGAGTCATTGACATTTTAATATCTTTCATGTGTGCGTCACCCAATTAGCTATTGAACAGTTTTTGCTCCAGATTTGTCATCTGTTCCTTTCCTTCATTTGTGGAGACTTTGTGTCCTCTAGAGCATAAAAGCTCAGTTGGTCCATGTACTATTTCATTGATTTTATCCAATGTATTGGGCCTATTTTATCATCTCCTCATATCACACAATTTATTTTATTTTCATTCTAAATTTATTTATTTAGTTCTTTCAAATATTTTTATTTCATTTTTTAATTTTCTATCTATAAAGGAGGCGTTAATTTATTCATTTGTTCATTATTTTTAATTAAAATTTTAATCATAGTTACTGTATCTCTTACAATCTTTATTTTTAGCCTCTAAACTAGGAAGATACCTGTTGTAGAAAACTATGATATTATTATACTATTTTATTGTTTGAACATGACCAGAGGTATGCTTTTGATCTAAAGTTGGCCCAAATTATTTGGCAATCATCATTGCTTGAACAATGGCCATAAGATATTAATGCTCAGGACTGTGCCTGCCCTTAATTGTTTCATATATCAATATATACAGGTTCCCCACAAAAAGCCCTAAACTTTCTTTATTTGCAAAGGCTATTACTATGGAAATAACTTACATTGAGTCCTTATCCAAGTGAGAAAATGGATATTTATCCACTGTATTTTCCTGGCAAGTCTTGTCCTTTGGCTTTATACTCACCAGATGTTAGCCCAGTGTGTTTGCTTAGCTATAGCATCTGTCATATCACTACTG